AAAAAAAAAAAAAAAAAAAAGTAAATGCTTCTTCTGTCACCCATCCATCCAAAATTATAATTTAATAAAATACTCGCAAAAAGTCACAATATGTAGGTTTTTTTTTTTTAATATAATAAATAATATTTAAAAAGGAATTCCAGTACCATTTATTGGAGCCTTCGGCCCCATCCCTAATAAATTTATCTATCTATTTTATTTTACAGAAACAAATAAAATAATAAAATATCATAGGATTCTTTTGGATTGATATGATTAGGAGAGCCAACTTTCATTTCCTTGTCCCATGCGCAACCCTATATTTCTTCCTTTAATTGCAACTTTTTCGTCTGTCTCTTGACCTTATGAAAACAAACAAATAATATACGTTAATATATTCCCAAAATAAGAATATTTAATTTTTGTTTTTTTTTTTTAATACTCTACAATACTCTATGACCCAACATAGTTACTTTATACAAATATGAAAATATTTATATTATAAGTATTAAGTATTGTCAATTTAATACGTATATTTTTTATTAAAATTAAAAAAATATATATAGGGAGAAAAGGCCAAATTAATAAAAATTTAACTTGCAGTAAAAATAGAAATTGACTGTCAAAACTAAATTAGTATATTTCTGTAAAAAATTTAAAAAAGCTTAAAACTAACAATAAATATCTGAATGGGCATGAGAAATATTAAAGTTTATGGAAATAAAAAATAAATGATATTCTGGGTAACTTTTATATTATATGTAAATAGGAAAGAAAGAGATGGGGCATTCTGGTCATTCTGATTTTTGTTTGTTGTTGGGTTTCTTTTAAAAGAAAATAAAAAATAAAAAGCTGCCTTACTAGACGACGACAGAAGGGACGTAACGTAAGGGAGCGGTTTCCAACGGTCGTTAAATGAAATTGTTTTAAATATTTTGTGATATTTTTAAAATGACAAAATTGATTTGAAGCCCTTGTCATTTACGCTTTTGCCCCCACAACTTCACATATTTACAACTCAAGACAAAATACAGAAAATGAAAATCACAGGCACACGATTTGGGAATAATAATTTTAGTTTCACGGGGAAGAGTAATCCATGCCTCGTTGGCAGTCTTAAGCCAACTCACTAACGTTGACGTGTAATAGTATTTATTACGCTAAAATTATAAAATTGCCAATATAATTTTAATTTAATAATTGATCTACTATATTGGTAGACTAAATTTTTATTAAAATAGCAAGTGAATTTAGAGAAAAAATGGTCACAAATATTTAAGTTTACGAAATTGGGGGAATGTTCTTGTTGGAGTGTTCTATAAAAAAAATTAAAAATAAAATAAAATAAAATAATAGGTGGAGGAAAGAGAAAGGAGCAGCCATTTGACTTTAAAGAGAGTCATGAGAGGAGCGTGAACTAAGAAGGTCAGGATTGTCAATCGGAGAAATCCACGTGACCCTTGCCCTGTCGGTAAGAGCTCCACGTCATCCGCTCTTCACGGATTTTATTCCCATTTTGTAATTTACGTCGTAATCAAAATCATGTTTTATTTTAATTATAATTTTTTACTGTCAGTATTTTAGATGATAATTAATTATTTATTTCTTTAAGCTTGAAATATAAAGCCAAAATAAGCGAAAGGTTACTCGTGGGGAGGCAAGACCCAAATTTGGTAATGGAATAATTAATGGAAAAGGGACCTAGCAATGTCAATTATTAAAAGCAAAGCAAGTGGAGCCTATGGCTATATAATTGTACCATATACGAATGCAAGCACATGCCCCTTTGTCACGCTATAGGAAAATTGTTGTCTTCCTTTCTCTAATTTACCACTAATATAATTTTAAAAATGGTGAAATTTTGCAAAATATAATCTATTAAATATTTCTTGCCCTTGTTTTATTCGTCCAATTTTTAGAAGAATCATTTATGGTTCATTGTTTCAACCTCTTTAATATTAATTCAATTAATTAAGATATTTATTTAAGTTTAAAAAGTATTGTCTAAAATTTTGGATGGGTGATTAATAAATGTTATTAAAATTATTGGATGTGAAAATGTCATGTTAATTAAATTGTAACAAATATTGGTAAGACTATTGCATGTGATAATGTCATCTTAATAGGTAATTGTTTTTCCACGTTGAATGTTGAAGGAAGTGTAAAGAAGAGGGTAACTCAGAGAAAAGGCTGTTTTTGATGCCTATGGTCCATTTTCTTTTCAGTGGGCCTCTTTCAATAATTCTCCATTATAAAATTATCCCTCCACTCACTAAAAACCTAATATATTATATAAATTAATTAACGTTTTTGCTTCCAAAATAATTTATTTAACGGGTGTCTAATTACCTTCTTAATATCTTTCTCAATCATCCAATCGATAGGATTACTTTCATTAAAATGTGGTCTGTTTATTATTAAACTCTTCATTTATTCGAGTGTCACGATACATTTCTTAATTGATTTAACCATTAATAAAATTCATCCACAAGCAAAAATTACGTCTATTTTGATTTTGATTCTTTTTAGAAAAAAGTATAAACTTTTAACTTTATTTTTGTCACATGACTATGATTTTCATTATATTTGTTATTGAAATAATGAATGTGTACTTTATTTATTTCTTTCGGTGTAATGTGACAATATGAGATTTTTCAGTTGAATGTGTTACTAATTGTCCATGATTATGATATAGCTTCTCCAAACAAAAAGATCACAAAAGGGATTTTTTTTTTTAATTTATATTTTTGTCCAATTTATCCCCCCACCCCAATTATCCTAAGTTTTTGGAAGCTTTTGTCTCGTACTAACCCTTCCAGAGTCGCATGTTTTTTTGGTCTAATTTTCAGCTATATAAATTAATTTTGGTTGAATTTTTTGAAAATTAAAAATTCAATTAGTGTGTGAGTTAGATGTTTTTTTTATTGGGTTACAGTCTAACCCAATACTACTCTATTATAAAAAAGTTAATCATAAATATTTGATATTTAAATTTTATGAGATTTTTATAATCGGAAACCATTTTTGTTTGTGGTTGAGATGTGCAAGTGGGGCATTGTTGAAGTGTTTGGTAAGATTGTGTGCTTTTAATCCTATATTTCCACACCATGTGACAAATCCATCATCTAAAATCTCATAAAGTGCTAAAATTCTTCTTCAACCCATAAATCATTTAAGATTGGAAAAATAATATTATATATATTATTTTTGAGAAATTGAGATACAAGAGAATGTGATCACGTGAAGGTGGTCGGACCCCAAGAATTTGCTTTTTTATTTAAAGTTTCTTTTTTCTTTGAATTATGATAAATCTACACCTTTGTATGTGTCTCAATGGTATCGTATTCTTAGTTTCTCCACTTTATCCAAAATGACTTCCCAACCATTTTCTCTCGAACAATCATTTATTCATTTACTCTTTTAATCTCACGAATAAATTTATTCTTAGCTTAGACAATCCTTATTCTTTTAATACCGTGTCATAATCATATGAGTTCATATGTAAGGTTACTCCTGACATGTTTTTGTGATTGCATGCAAGGTCCTTCCTTGCTTGATATCATCCTACTAAGGTTATGTCTTATATCCGTTCCATGTCCTAAGAAAAAAAAAAAGTATAATTTTTCAAATTAAAATGAAAACATGAACTTATTATAATAGGCAAGTTAAGAAAGAAAATAATAAGGGGCATAATGGTCAGAAATATGCATCAAATCTAAAAATGAGTAGGCGTAATTTCCGAGAAGCCCAATTAATAGGAATTGGGTCCGCAATGTATCTAATGGGCCCAAAGCCCAACTATTTGGTAGTAAAATATATATTTTTTTTAATTTTAAAAAATTTTGAAATCTGAAATCAGAACTCAGTCTGAAATTATTGCAACTCATAAGTAATATATATTTTAAATATAAATTTAGACGGATAACAATTAGCATTAGCAAATAAAATATATAAATATTTTCTAAATTCGACTTTTGTTAACGGTACCAATAAATTAATCTTAAACTAAACCCTGTTTTTAAGGGAAAATTTGAAACTGAATCTCAGGCAGAGAAGCAAGTGTAAACCACGTTGTCTGAGCCGGTGTGACCCAACCGGAATCCCGTTTTTCCAGCGTCGACAGACTTCTCCTTCTCGGAAGTTGGCCGGAGGGCGCGTCCTTTGATGAGCTCCGGCCGCCTCTCCTTGGCGGCGGCTTGTTTCTCGATGCGACGGCGATTGACGTAATCTTCGGGAATAAAAACATCCATAACGAGTCCAGAAAATTGGAGATTTAGAAGAAGAAGAAGAAGGAACAGAGGATGTAATTAAATGTGATTAAGGAAGTATTTATATGAGTAATTAGTTTGGGGGTATGATATGATACCGTGGGCCAATGGTCCCATGTTTTGGGTTAAACAAGCGAACCGCAGAGATTCATGCAGCTGGATTTACCAACAAATTTCATACCGCTTTCCCACTACTCTTTTTTTTTTTTTTTTTTTCTATACAAATTATAATTTTACTCTAAATTTGGAGTTAGTGTCTTAAAAAACTCTTAATTAACCAAAAATAAGGTATAATGCATATTTATATTTTGGATTTTAAATTTAATGTTTCTAAATTATCAAATAAAGACGAACTAGATTTAATTGGCAAGTTAGGAGCATGCAGGACACTTGGGTCGACGTTGGATTTGGACTTTGGCCAAATCATTTTATTTTTCTTTTATCTCATGACTTAATCTTTTTGTATGGACTCGAATATCGGTCATCAAATTTTACACATAACAATTAGCTTTACCAACGGCTTTTAATTTTTAAATAGAAAAACATTGTTTGTAATATCAATTTCATATCTTTCTTGTCCCGAATCAATCTAAAAAAATTCTATCTTGGTTACTAATTTAGATATTGCCATTCATTTTCGAAAAGATTCTATATCTGTTTAATCAAAAGATTTGGAATATATATATATATATATATTTTTTTTTTTTATGGTTACAAAATTCTAGAAAGAAGGCATGTTTTTTTATATTATTAATCCTAACAACCAAGAATTATTTAAAAATACTTTTTGTAAGTAGAAAAATAAAAGTACTTTCTATCGATAAATTACATATTTTATTAATTCAAAAAAAAAAAAAAAGAGTAGGTAGGAGTTGGACAAATCGGTCATTTACGCAAAAGCTAAACGTGTGGGAAACTTGGAATAAAAACTCCGATTATCGTGATAAAATTTAAATAATTTGAAATTTCTCTATTGTGCCACTTGTCAGTATCTGTGCTTTCTAATTTTAATAAGATCAAACGCGTTCGATGAGAAGGTGTACTCATAGTTCTGTGGGCACAATGCATCGGAACATTCCTCGAATTAACCATGAATAAATGCTTCTGAGTAACGTATAACTGATAAATTATAGTAAATTAATTAATTTTATATCAATATGTTATTAACTAAATAAATTATTATTATTATTTTTATCTTGATCCTCAAGTAAATAATTCTTTTTGAGATATAGGTGAAAAATCATGTCCAGTATTAATTTCTCAATTAAATAGGTTTTTATGTAAAAAATAATGCAGTACAAGCTCTACGTCTAGCCTATAAAAGAACGTGGTGTAATTATAATTTTGAAAAATAATATAAAGCGAGATTTAAATGAATTCAACTACCACAATATTATAGTGTTACATAATAATAATGTTTATTACTAAGTCTCAATACTGACTATTAACTGATGAATGCATATGAATGGTATGTTATATGTAGATCTGGTCGGACTCTCGCTAATATACCATCGAATAATTGATATAGCTCATATCTAAATTATGTTTTTTTTTACGTAACGAGTAATGAAAAAGATAGAATGACGTAGGAAGATTATTATCGGGATAATTGGAAGATTCATGTAAGAATGGTGAAGTAGTAATTTAGGGAAGGCCCAAGTGGTGACTGAAAAAGGACCAAACTCTTTTGCTCCAAATCCACCAAACCAACACAAACTTCTCTCTCTCTCGCTCTCTCTGTCGAAGAACACAAAGGTTTTGCAGAGAAGAAAAGGCAGCGTGGCTAAGCTGAAGGAGTACGTTATGGGCGGCGCCGACGAGTCTGAACCAGATTCGCAGCCGCCAGTGCCGCTTCAAAACAACTCCCTCATTCCTCACGGTATTTTTCTTCTCTTCCTTTTTTTCTTTTTCTGTTTGGTTTCTGGGAAAACCAAAATCACTCCTTCCCGGAAAGTTTTTGTTTATATTTTCTTCCCACATTTCTTGTCCATGTGTTAGACGAACATGACTCTATATGATATTGTCCACTTTGAGCATAAATTCTCATGACTTTGCTTTAGATTTCTCTAAAAGGTCTCGTACCATGGAGTTAGTATTCCTCACTTATAAACCCATAATCATTCCCTACATTATCCAACACTCTGCCTCTCTTTTGTGTGTGTTTGGCTTTTCGGGAAAATCTTACTTTCCCGGAAAATGCATCCTTGTCTAGACTTAAGTCCTTCATTTCAACGTTTTGTTTATCAAGCATAGAATTTAATTTTGTATAAAAACGTTTCAATTATTTTTATCTCTTAAACTTAATTTTTAAAAATAAAAAATTATTAAATAGGCGTCTCCTCAAAGGAATAATAATAATAATAATAAAAAGAAACGAGCAAAAATAATAATAAATGGAAAATTATATGGTAAAGTTTTAATTACATTTACATAATAATAATTCCTTATTTACTTAAATCATTATTCACAATTCAATTTTTTTACAAATTACAATTTAATTAAAAAAAAATGAATTATTGAACCAAAAAATAGTAAAAAGTGGTTTTTGAATGTACTGGGAAAAGAGTGCCATGACTGATCAGCTTTTTTTGCTACACAGCTTTATTGCCTTGTCTAGAAATTTTTGTATACCCTAATTTCTGAATATTTATGTAAATTATTACAAGACATAAAATATATATATTGTCTTTTGTCTGGTTGTTCTCAATAATCATTTATTTGGGAAGAAAACAGTGTCGAATTTATTTGTTTTCCAATAATTTGTTGGTCCTCTTTGGAAATAAATCTGCAAAATGACACAAAACTAATAATGGTGACAATCACATTCTTCATTAAAAGAAAGAAAAAAACATGTTCTTCTTACAAATTATGTGCTTCATTCGGTTCGTGTCATTTTTTGTTGTATTAGTGGCTGATTTCTTGTCTAACAAAGACAAAATAAATGACAGCCGTTTCAGCTCCTCATTCCGACAAACTTGTTCCTCCAAAGGACAGAGGTAAAACTCTCCATTTTCTTTCTGGTTGCCTCTAATTCAACAGCATTTGCAAGATTCTTGCGTTCGAGATATTCGAAAGTGTTCATTAAAAGTAGAAAACGAAACAAAGAAATTGCTATAGAACGGGGTTTTGTGATCTTAGATGTTGCGTTGGCTCGTGTCGAATTGGAGAAGAAGTTGGCATTGATCAAAGCATGGGAGGAGAGTGAGAAGATCAAGGCAGAGAACAGGTAAGATATAGAAAAGTTTGTTCATTGTTGAATTTTGGATTATGTATTTGAAATCTTTGGATCAGGGCATACAAACGGCTCTCTGCTATTGATTCTTGGGAGAATACCAAAAAAGCTTCAATACAAGCACAGCTGATGAAGTTAGAGGTAAATTTTCATTTCTATACTTCTTTCTCATTGATTAAGACTCGGGTTTTCGATACGAGTTTTGAAGCGTTTGGTCTTTTGTGAAACGAAAGGAGAAAATGGAGAAGAAGAAAGCTGAGTATGGCGAGCTAATGAAGAACAGAATCGTTGGAATTCACAAGCAAGGGGAAGAGAAGAAAGCAACCATTGAAGCCGAGCGAAGAGAACAGTGTCTGAAGGTCGAGGAGACCGCAGCAAAATATCGAGCTTCCGGGTTCACCCCGAAGACTCTACTAAGATGTTTCAGTGGTTGAGATGGGTTGGGGTTGAAAGAATAGACTCCTATCTCAGATTTGCAGTCTGGTTTTAGTTTTGGTTTGGTTTTGTATTGAGTTAGTTGGAGATGACTTGCAGGTGTTCCTTTTGTTGTGTAAAGATTATATCAGTTTGCTGCGTTTTACCCACTGATCACTTTTCTTATGCTCTATGCACTGATAGAGTTCTAATAGCAGTATTGATCCATGTCTTCTGCTGCTTGTTTGCCTACAAAGCACGGGAAATTAATACCCGGATACGGTCCCAAAGAATCAGTCATGTTATTCCTTAGCAAGTGTGATAGCCCAAGCCTACCGTTAGTCGATATTGTTCACTTTGGTTTTAAAATGCATCTATTAGGGAATGATTTCCACCCCTCATAAGGAATTTTTCGTTCTCCTCTCTAACCGATGTAGGATCTCATAATCGCTAGCACACCGCTCGGTATCTGGCTCTAATACCATTTGTAACAGCTCAAAACCACTACTAATAAATATTGTTAGCTTTGGCCCATTACGTATTGTCATTTGCATCGTTAGGAAAAATTTTTCACTCTTATAAGGAATTCTTCATTTTCATCTCCAACTTATGTGAGATCTTACACAACCAGATAGATCATATATCATCCAATCGAGCAATAGATTATACAACAACGAGAATGAGCTGTCGGTGACGATTTTCAGAGTCGAGAACTGAATATGTGCAAGGAAAATAATGGTTTATGGTCGAAATACAGTTCGATACCAGAATGAATATTACTAACTCTACTAGTTAAAGAACGAACCTTTTACATATAAACATATGGCTGCAAATATGACACGACCAAGACAGCGACAACGAAAGGCAAACTGCACTCTTTTGCTAACAAATTTTACTTCCAAAAGGGGTCACTTACATGTTGCAAGAGAATTACGCTTCGTTTTGATGTTTAAGCAGTCAGCCGAGCACAACCCGTGTCACGCTATCCTTTAGACCGATTACTTGCAGCTTTTCGTCTCGCGCAGCATCCAACTAAGTAGATGATCAGCTGGAAATGGAACTAAGAGTTAAGAAATAAAGAAAGGGAATGGAAAAGATCTGGAAGTGCTAGCAGAAAGTGTCTTACCAAGATAACAAATAGAACGACATTGAAGATCGCAACCAAACGCCATTCTGTTTTCATGTACTGTGCGACTCCGGCCCTGAATGATCAAACAATCAAATGATGATGAAACGGAGATGAATGAATAGAATAACGTCACAAGAGATATTTACTTGCACGAATCGCAATCGTAACACTTGACTGCCTTCGAATTCTTGTATAGTTTGCAGTCATGGTTTGAATTGACAGGATGAAAACTCAAGTCATAAAATGATGCATTAACAGCAGGATAACCACACCTATCATTCATATCAGGATGCCCAAAAGATAGCATCAGTCACAAGAATTCAAATGCATAGCTTACGGCCTTGCGAAAAGCACATGAATTTAGTTTCTTCTTTTGTTTATTGCTGATATAAACATAAGAAAACGAACAAGGAATTTGAAAGTTACACCTACTCGGATGGGGGTCTGCAACAACCTGCTTCAATTGGCGTCAGCTTTGCCAACTTATACTGCTTGAGAGTCTGAAATTGCCAAATAAAATGACTTCATGAAAAAGTTCAAATCGTCTCATATTCAAATCGTCCAAGCTCGAAACAAGAACCTTGTATTTTTTTGAAAGAATATTGCAGTCCTCAGATTTGACGAGACAGCTTTTCAAACGCATCCAATTGTCGGTATCATTAAGCTGTAATGGCGCGCCAAGATTAGCAGAAATAAATGATCTTAATCACTCTGCAAAAACTAAAATAGCACCCACCTGTTTTAGAAACCATGTACTGTAATCTTGTAGTTGATACTCCTTATACCTCATCAATGGGAAGAAAAGGGGAAAAGACATCAGTGTCGATGCAACAAGAACCGAACTTCGAGCATTACCAGCACCAGTTACTCTTAAGCATCCTCAAAACAAAGTTACTTACCTCAAGCCAGCAACAGAATGCCCTGAACCATTGTTTGTAACAATAAACCTAAAAGGGATTCAAATAATTACGTTAGGTTCAAGAAGAGTACAACAATACAAACTACATACCAACTGGGAAGACACCAAAGCAAGGTTCAAGCATTCGCAAAGAGGAAGTGTGAGCCATGTAATTTTGGTGGCTAAAAGATGAGAATAACTAAGGATGTCCACTTTGATACTTCCTTTTATATCTTGAAGGGATCATGTGAAGATAACAAAGAAAATAAAAGTAGATGAAAGTGAAACCGTGGTTTAAGTATAGTGTAGTTCTCATCTCATGGCCTAACTTTATAATTTGTGAGATTCCACATTGGTTGGAAAGGAGAACGAAACAAAAGTGCGGAAACCTCTCCCTAGCAGACACGTTTTAAAACTTTGAGAGGAAGCTCGAAAAGGAAAGCCCAAAGAGGACAATATCTACTAGTGGTGGGCTTGGGCTATTACAAATGGTATCAAAACTAGACACCGAGCAGTCTGTCAACGAGGATGTTGGGCCCTTAAGGAGGGAGGATTGTAAGATCCCACATCGGTTGGAGAGGGGAACAAAACATTCCTTATAAGCGTATAGAAATGTTTTCCTAGCAGACGCGTTTCAAAACCTTGAAGGGAAACAATGTCATCCACTCACTGAAGACTGAAAAGCATTGCCTCTCGTGATCGCACCAGCTCCTTCTTTCACTCATCTCAATCTTATTTAGAAGGCATCCCGACATAATGCATCGAAGGAATCGTTTGACAAGTACACAAAACATAGAAACATAAGCCGTAAATTTTACCTAGTAGAACATATTCAAATAGGACATGTGAGAAAGAAATGTAATTTTTTTCAATATGCTAAAGTTTAGAAACATAGGGTTGCAATCATGGGTTTGATAATGAATCTACTTCAGAAACATATACTTACGCCAGCACCGTAAACACCAGAATCCCCACCAACGTAATGCACAGCATGATCAAATACTACAAGCAGAAGGTCAAGGTCGAGCAAATATTGGGAAAATTAACATCAAATGTTAAGACAAAACATTTAAAAGGATACAATCCACAGCAATATGGAATTGTTCTTAAGAGCACCGAAAAAACCAACTATAGACCTGGTTCATAAGTATTGATAACAACAATATTGGGTGAGTGAGACAGAATATACTCTGAACTAAACAAGATTGCATTCCTACAAGAATTGAAAACTTACACCACAAAGATGAATCCACCAAGTCCCATAACAGGAAGAGTAAGAGACTTTCGACAGCCGTCATGGTGCGTGCCCATCCATATCCCAAATATTACGACAAGAATAGCTAGAAGCTGTAACATGAAGATACCGAGTGAGATGAGCAATCCTGGACCCAAGTAGTCTTGCTAAGACATAGTTAACTAATGCTTAAAGCCCTGCTCCATAAACTCATTCTCGTATGAACTCCCACAACAGAGAAAAGGATTATGAAACTCATTGAACATATGAAAACAATTCAAAGGCAATGCAGGCAAAACCCATCAAACATACAAGAAACTTGAACAAATACATTGACAAAGACATAAACAAAACCTCATTTGCACAACATGCGACGGGTGAAACTAAGTCCAAAGACATGGGAGCAAAAAACAGAACAAATGTCCACATAGCAATGTAACATATAAACACCATCTTTGAAACATAACAAAAAAAAAATGGAAAAATGAAGAGGAATCGTGCATACCATGGTGAGAAAATTGATCCATCTGATGATAAAGATGCTAGTTCCCATTCCCATTTTGCTCCTCTTCCCTTTCACCTCCTTGCTCTCAATGTCGCGGCCAGAAACAGAGAGAAATAGGTCCAAAAAGGCAGGAAAAAAGAATCCGGGTGTGAAAGTTTAAATGGAAAATATAAAAAGGGAGAGTGGAGTTTCTTGAGAGCTTAGCTGTGGAGGTGGCTGGAAGCAAAGAGAGCGGCTACGCTGGGAGGAGACGGGGTGGAGTGGGGATAATGTAAGAAAGGTAATGGCATTTTCGTCAAAGGAAAAGAAGAATCACATGGCTCTATGAAAACCCTGATGTTATCCACCAATCCGACAAGACACTCATAAAAGGGAAAGCCGTGATTTTGGACTTAAATTTGAGGTTAATGAAATTATGAGTCTAAGTAGTCTTGATCATATTCTTAATAGACCAATGTTTACGCCTGTAAGAGGGCTTCCAGATCGACCCTGGTCTCTTTTATTTACTTTTTCTTAGTCACTTTAATTAAATCTCTTTATTTCCCATCTGGGTTTGGTTTTTCCTTAACAAAATCTTCTCTTTCCTTTTTTTTTTCCCCCCCTTAATTACGTTAAATTATGCTAGACTTTCAAATTTTATAAACAATATCTAAAACTTTATTTAATGAAATCTTTGTTTCACCCCTCCCAATCATAGGTATTTAAAATATATCCACAACCATGTGAAAGAGATCATCCTTTTCATTTGATATCATTCATATCCACCGAGAAGAATGGGTCATGTCACATCAATTTTCATTTCAAATTTCAATAGTTCTTCCATAATCAAAATTCAAGATTTTTATCATTACATATTTAACTGTATAACTTTAATCACAGCTACAGAATGAGGGGGAAGAACTTGAAGGCTACAAACAATCTCTAAATACAATGATGTGGTTGAGTTTTAATCAACAGTAGCTTAGTTCCTTTACTTCCCCACAAGTGATAAGACTTTGGGCAAAATTACAAAGGCTTCTTCTCACTGTGAAGCAAACTGGAAGAGAATAGAACTAATGCTGCTCGCTTTCTGTGTTTTTCACAATCAAAATTTTCTTCACAGTAAAATGCCTCTGAAACTCAAGAAACTGCTACTGTACCCTGTTGGTGCAAGTTAAGATGACAGATTTCACGGTTTCTTTATCCAATGATGTCTGAACCATCAGCTGCACAATATAATATCATATTCATATTTCAAATACCATTCTTGATTGGATACAAAAATAAAATTATAAGATTACATGAGTTTAAACAGATGAAGGTTGAAGTATACTTCATTTCGACTTAAAACAGAGTTGTCGAATTGGAAGTGTTAATCAGTTTGCTGTCTGAAGATTAAAGAAGAAAGGGGGTGCTCGGCTCGTGAGTCGAGCTTATGTTTATGTAATCCAGGGTTAAGAAGTCAAACTTATGTTTGATCTACCAGATTATGAGAATGTTAATCTCAACAACGCCATACACCTACTTAAGACTTCTAAAACCCACATTTTCAAGTGTTTCATAACCTATTCCTTTGTACAATCTGACTTCTAACCCCAAGCATCATAAGAGTTTTTAGCAACACAGTAATGTTTCTGAATATTTACCTCCTGTATTTTGTTTCCAGATCGAGCAAGTAATTTGTACTGATTTTCGTACATAGAAGCCATATAAACCTGCATCAAATGGAGAGTTGATGGAAAATTATCTGAGACACTGAGCTGTGCATAAGACCGTATAATTTCAAGGAACTAGCTAATACTCATTCACCAGAAATACTATAGATCACATGAAAGCTGGGAATAAGATGGGAGTAGCTAAAATCTCTAAGAATAATGAGCCACAAAATGTAAAAATCATTTAGTTCTAATACTATCCTCGTGATCCAGAACAATTTCCCCTGTTTTACCTGAAAGGTTGGAGCCAAGCCAGGGCTAAGGAAAAATCGCCCTTTGGATACAGCCTCAATACCTTCAGTATTTTGCAGTTCGTTGATGAGAGATTCTACGTCAGGCCACTGTCCAAAAATAGAACTTGTAAGGAAAAATTACACTGGTAAGAGATATTTTCCTCTTGTACTTTACTGATATTCATCCTACATATAGATAGCATAGAAATTAAGGATGCAGCAGATATGTATATAAAACGTTCATAAATGCCAAAAGGTGATTGTTAGTCAGATGATAAGTTCTGAGATAATCACCATGTACCAATCACTTGCATCGAATTAATAATACTAACTAACAAGAGAGTACAAATACCTCGGTGTCCACTTCGGCTGATTCTAATCTTCCATCCATGGGATCGTGATCACCAACCACAGACTCCAATGCTTCAGCGAGCGGATCTGGCTGCATAAAGAAAAACATGGTTTCTACTCAGAATAGTTGCTAAAACTATATCAAGATGTTTAATTTATGAAGACATCTTACTGTAATCTGCTTCAACGATAAGAATATGCGTTCGAGTGAAAAATCCAACTGATGAACTTTTGCCTCGACAACCTACAAAAGTAAGATATGGAGACAAATTTCAATTGTTAAAAGAAATGGAGTAGGATGAAATTTTGACATATGAGCTTCCACAGGTAGCTCATTGGTATGTGGCCAGGTTCCACCTCCATGAGGGGTTTGAGCCATATTTCCCCTTTCCCCCAATTTGTGGTGTAATGTAATGCTTTCATAAGTTATAAAAAAAAAAAAAAAAAAAAAAAAAAT